AAATAATAACAATAATAATAAAGCGAAGGAAGGATTATATATAAAACATTCCTATAAGATTGAAAATATTAGGGAAAAAAGAGAATTAAATTTCAAGTTACTTGTGCATTCCCCTTCCACTCTACAAAACAAAACTGTAAAATGAGTAAGGAGAAAAAAAATGAAGCTGCTTATTACACATTTACTATTATCTGCACGTATTAATGTCTCTAGCCATGTGTGTACCTCAGTATTACCTAAAAGGAAATTATCTGAGATTGATTTTGTTTTGTCCTACGTACATATAGGAGTGACACACAGTTGTTCTTACCAAGTTTCATTTTATCAAGCATCCACCCAGCAAAAACTTAGTGGCTGCAAAGCAGTAGATTAGAAAAAAAACTTGGGGACTAAATCAGGCTGACAAACTGACAGCCAACACTGCATTGCTAATAAAGGTGGCAAACATCCCTCTAGAACATTTCAGCAATGTTACACAGAAACCTTGGGAAAAGCACCCTGTTCTAATTGACTGTGTTTGAGGGCATCATAAGCTGCTGTGGGCACTACATCTCTGGGTGCACTGAGACACAAAAAGAGGGGAACAGCAATAACAGAGACCAAACAGAACAGATAAAAAATAAAAAGCCATGAGTCAAAAACTCTCCAATCAGTGATGGAACATTAACCAGAAAGGAAGAACCCTATCTTCCTCTTGTTCATGCTGTGATCACACAGAGGATCCCAAACAGTGACACATTAACCACACGAGCAAAAGACAAATTCATTCCAAAATATTTCAAAAGAACAACTGCTGCTGTATCTTCACAAAGATCAGCTTTGGTATCTCAGTCAACTCTTTGTGAATTAAGTTCAGAACTCCTGAGGGACACCATTAGGCCAAGTCTCTTACACCCTGGGCAAGCATTTGCCTCTGGTAGAAGATACCACAGTGACATCCTCTTGGAACTGAGAGAATCTTTGAAATAAAAACTCCCATTCAATGTATTCACATTCTACCTGTATTTGCAAATAATTACAATGGAATTAAAATAGCATTATTCAGGAATTCCCTACTGAAAAGTAAAAGACTCATTTACACTACTCTTTCAGGCAAAAATAATTTTCAATAACTCAAAAACTTAGAAAACAATCTATTCAGGCCTGTAAATACTAATCTACTAATTTATCTAACTTATACAGTCATCTAGACTCCCTTGATGGCAAACAGAAGGACATTCCATGACAAGGAATTGCAGATTGCTGCACAACAGGGAACTGAATGGAACCTCAAAAAGTATGCAAACTTCATCTGAAAAAGTGAACATATACACCAAAAAAAGTCAGCTCCTACTCAAGCACTGCTATGGGGAAAGACCTGCCAAGCTCACCTTTCTTCTGTTGGACTCTCAGAGTTCTGAGCAAGGACTGATCCTATTCCACAATCTCAAAATATCAAGCTGTGAAATAGCCAGAAAGCTCCTGATCCTTACTCTCGCTAAGGACAATCTTTTGACATGGCAGCAAGTGCACATTAGATTCTCCCTTCAAGTGCAGACCAGAATTGTAGGAAAGAAAAATCACTACAGAGGCCAAATGACCACAGAAGCACTTAGAGATCAGGAAACCCTCAAGCTGTAGGTGTATGTAATTTTCACTTAGCCACAGTAGGATAGAGAGGTCTTTTTCTTTTTTTTGAGTTACACAAAAAACACCTGCCCTAGCATTCTTCTCAGTTATATCCTTTGCCAATCACTATTTCTGCTATTCTTATTTCTCAGTCTTCACTTCTGTCCAATTTCTCCACTTTCACCTGTGTTTTTTCCTCCCATTTCTTTACCTCCTATAATCTAATTCCTACCTCTGATCTCCTCTATATTTCTGTCATGTGGATGATACTGATCTTTACATGTTGCTACTTTATTTCACACTTCAGGCAGAGCAACAGGACACATACTCCCATTCCAAGATAGTTGTTTCAAAACCATTTGCAGACTCAAAAACAAATGGACAGCATTTTCTCTGAAGGATTGGCATAATAATGTACTTCCCTTTAAGAACAAATTTAAAAATGTTTGCACACATTATCTAGGCTATGGAAACACAGTAGGCAGTTTACATCACACTGTTCTTAGGACAGGAAACACCTCCAGAGAGCAGGACTATGGAACAGCACACATTCCTTATTTCAATAAAGATACTCTAAAGGTTAGAGGATGTAACTTGCAAAATAGTGACAATCAAAAACCTGTCAGAGGGTGATGGGGAAGAAGATAAAAAATAAAACATGAATACGCCTTCCAGGGTACCAGATCAGAGAGAGGGGACAAAGGAAAAAAACTGTACAACACTTATTTCCCTTATCTGAAAGGAGCACTCTGCATAAATATTTCAGAAAGTCTACTCATTTTTATAATTCATTTTATAGAATTATACAGTGACAGATTTTTAAACATTCATCTCAATGCCAGAAAACTGGAATAATGTATTTTAGACCTTGACATAAGATGCATAGGAACAAACATACCATCTTTAGTCACACTATCATGAAAATTAAATTTCCACACACTGACTTACTTACATACCATTCCTTAATTAAATATTTTTAAACATAATTCCTGGCAGCACATTAAAAATTCATATGCTCAAAAGGTTGCATTTATTTCCTTAAAAAGTCAATGAGCTTTCCTTCACTTACTAGTACAGGCCTCTGGCTATGTTTATACAATGTAACTCTCCACTGGAAAAAAAAAAAAAAAAGCAGCTTTTATATTTAATGACCAATTTATTCTAAAAGCAAATTTTTTTTCTCTCTCCAGAGAGACTTCAGCAACATTCTGGACACCAACCAACATCTCTATAATACTACTACTGAGTATTACTATAGTATAGATCTTCCTACTATAATATTAGATTATATTTAGACCTTAAACTCTATAGAAGTGCTTGAAAATGAGCTATCAGTTTTTATCAAAATAACAACTTACAGGCAAAGACTGCCACCTAGTGATCTTAATTATCTACAGAGAAAAAGAAAGTAAACAAATGAAACAAAAGTCAGCTCCTCTTCCAGGATAGAAGGAAAAAAACCCCATTTGTTCCTTCATATTTTATATCAACATAGAGAAACAACCTCACATTATGTTACTTGCATCACCTACTATAATTTGACAGTAAATTCAGGAGGGGGATGGGGAAAGAGTCAGTAAGTGTAGGTTATCTGCCTCATAAGATTCATCTCGTTGGTTGGTTGTCACTTCCATCTGCAATTCCTCCTTATTTTACAGGGAGCCTAGCCTTTTCATAATACAAGCATTCCATCTAGAACTTATTTAATCTCTGAGATTGCACTGATAGGCAGACACACCCCTCAAAACACTGTATTCTTTCAATTTTTGCACTTTCAGTCTTTTCTGTTTCTCCTCAGCATTCTAACTATATTTTCAGTACATGCTCCAGTTCATCTTTGCCATTCCCTCTTCAGCCACTGCCTATTTTCTACAGAATTTCACGGTCAGTGAACAAAGAAGTCGAGTTATCTGTGTCCTCTTATCTGCCTTACAAAACTGAATTCCCATTCTGTAAGTGAGTCCTAAAATCAGGATCTTATTTTCAGACTCTCTTCCTGTTCAAACTTGTATTTCCTCTTATTCACTCTGAAGAGGTTAGTACCCTTTTTGAGCAAATGGCAATACTAGTTTAATTAGTCCTTGTTCAATGTTCATATAAGCACAATTGTACTTCATATAAGTACAATTCCCATGTTACCTCTCACATTTTAAAGGAGTTCTTTCCAAATATTCCTGAAGTCACATAATAGCTTCCTCAAAAATCTCATTAAAAATCATTGATATTATACCCATGAAATAAACCTGACCCTAGGTAGACTGCTGATGTGCTGTGACTGCTGCTTATCATGCTGACTAGCACAGTGTAAACAGTCCTTTTCACTCTCTCAACAGACCCCCTGTGCTCAGTCAGGGCTGTCACAGTCTTTGAACAGCACTGGCACATTGGAATACACTACCAATAAAATATTACTACAAAAATTAAATAATCTCTTTTCTTCATGCCAATATTTTATGTCTGTCTTACATCAAAAAACCAATCAAATGACCCCTCACAGCACTACCCTAACAATATAAAGTTTTTCCCCTCTGTCTTTTAAACTGGAGATGTTTACTAAAACCCAAGAAAGTTGCTTATGCAACCATCTGCTTCTTTTACTTAGTTCCCAAATAACATCTGTTGCCTGTGTTTCCAGCAACTGGTTGCTGTGTCAGAGGCCTGATTTTCTTATGGAGTCTAGTACCCACAGTCAATATATCACACCAGTTACAGAACTATACCTCAGTCTCAACAAGCAGCACTGAAGATCATGGCTAACAGAAGTTCTATCACTAATGTGTAAACTAGAGAGCAAGAGAACATCTACATAATAACTGAAGCAGAGAAGCAAGGCAACAAAATATGGTTGTGCTTCTGAAACTTCTTAAAAGTATAGTCTTTATCCTCTCTCTTTTCGGTTTACTCAAAAAAATGTGGATGTTTGTTCTCCAACATGGCTGTAACACATCTTAATTATTGTTAAATAGATTTAATCACTTGCTGCCAAAGCTCCAAGTCATCTCTGTACCTTGAAGAAAGTAAGCTGCTGAAATGAAATATGAAATATGAAAAATGAAATATGAAATATGAAAAATGAAAAATGAAAAATGAAAAATGAAAAATGAAAAATGAAAAATGAAAAATGAAAAATGTTATACCCTCTTATTCTCTGTAACAGCCCAGTGGGGGAGTAGCAATTGCCGAATTAAAAGCTGTATCATGTTACTGTCTCCACAACCAGTTTCCAAGACCTGTAAAATGCTATACACTAATTAGCCTGCATACATGAAACATTGATTTTATGGTTTTTTAGCATTCCAGTAACAACACTTCTCACAGCAAAATGGGTTAAAAAAAATAGCAGTGATGTTAATATGAAACTGATGTCAGATTTATAAATTACATAAACTTACCATACTTGTCTCGCAAGCCAACTGTACATCTGAAGACTCCACCAAAGGCCACGTCTTCACCAAATATAACTGAAAATAATAATAGCAGGGGAGGCTAACATTACTCCAACACATCTTACTTTCAAAGGCTTTTATATGAGACACTAACAAAAGTAACTCCTAACACTTCATTTCACTTCAAGATTCATCTAGACCTAAGAATTTCTCATGCACAGCCTGACTATAACAAATGAAGAACAAAGGTTAATGAGGAACTAGAACACAGCTGTCTCAAAACAGAATTCATGAAAATTATTCTGTTAGGCTTATTAGCTATCTACTTTTTTGAAATATCTTATAGTAACACAGTGTCTAAAACTAAATGAGTAAAATTTCAGAAAGCAATTACACTCGGTCACAAATGAGTCATTGAAATTAAGCCTTCTGCTTCAACTGGTAACCATTTTCATTCTTCATCCACAGACTTCAATAATACAATGTTTTGAAAACCATCAAATTGAAGTTTTTTTTCAAAATATCAATTCAATATGAAATGTCAAGCCTTCTCCAAACATACTTGCCAGACCCCTGAAGAGTGACTTCAAAGGAACTCCTCTACAGAAAACATGACTACTTAATAACTAGGACAGTTCTCAGTATTTAACACTACTATTCTTGTAGTTAATAAAGTTTTATTACTTAAAGCATTTGCCTTTAAAACTTGGCTTCATATCAACTAATCTATTTGTGGGGTTTTTTCCTTGAATTTAGGGGATGGTTATGTCTAATTTTCTTAAAACAGTTTTGTTATCTGCTTCACAGAAACAACTATTGCCCAATTAAAATTTTTAAGCATGTAAGATGTGCAGCAATATCACCAATAGCTGTTTGCATGAAGCAGGGTCAGTTTTGATTATTCCACAATTCTTCAATATTCTCCATATTCTAAAGGACACAAAATAATAAGTTAACCTTCTTGCCTTTCAAATACTATTCTTATTAAATAAAATAAATTTCGCATTGGAATCACTAAAAGGGATTAGCATACTTGTGCTAATCACATCAGTGACACCACTTACAGAAAAATTAATTCTATAAAGCCGTAAAACGAACACACTCATGGTGTGTATGACTGCACTATGTCCCTAAATCACTTCTCTAATTTTTAACAATAATTTGGGTGGGGTTTCATGTACTTAAAATCTTTGCAAGTCCTTTCTGTTACCATATGGCTCCTTACTTTTGAGCCAGCTGGCATCTACAAAAAATATTCCCATTTAATGCTGGTATTCACAAACTCGAATGGATTTACTCATTCAGTTCAGCCACTGAAATGTGTTTTCTTGGAGGCATTCTAATTCTGATCAACACAAATATGAGGATTTCCACACTTAAACAACAATTGCTCAATTCCCATACAACTAAAAACATATGAAGGACATGTTTTCCATTGTGAAAAGTCCAAATTAGTTCAGTAAGTGTGGCGATTCTGAGAACTCACATCTGGACTGGAGAACACCAACATGGTCTTGCAAAGGGCTTCACAAAGACTAAGCCCTGCAAAGCTGAGGAGCAAGACTGGAACCTTAGAGCAACTGCTTCTCTAAAGGGTCAAGATTATATATGAGTCTAGGCTCCTGATGGACTAACACTACTTGCTTTTATAAGGCTGATTCTACAGAAATGGCAAGAAAATCTGTTCTTGGCCCTAATTTACCCTCAGCTGCCTAAATTTAACCTAATTGAGGAGCATATAGAACAGCTGAGATTGAGAGGGAACATATACAGCCATAGCACTGCACACAACATGCACAAGAATTTGTTCCAACAGATTAGACAATTGGTCAAAATTTAGACTGAGCAGTGATTCAAGCAGTGACAAAAAGGGCTACTAACAAACTAAAAAGCAAACCCAAAATTACACAAGATGATGCAGCCTTAGCAGCTGTGTGTTCATGGCATGAAGCACCTCTTTCAGATATCTGGCCATCATCATGCCTTTGTTGGGGCAACAGAAGCAAAAGACCTCCTGTTATATATAAGATTTAAAAGTGGAGTAAATAGTTTTGTGCAATAGTTTACAATAAGGCTTTTAAATCCTGCTATAATGAAGTAGCATCTTCCAAGTCATGGGTTATCCAGACCACAAAAGCCTAGGAAATCTTACACTGCTTATGGACAACAATGAACAGAAAACAGTAAAGCTATAAATTCATTTTGGAGGGCAGGGAAGAAAGCAGAATGTACAGAGCAAGGAATATATGGGCTCATAAAAAATACCAGTTTTAGGGAACAGAAAGTTTAAGAAATGTAAAGTAATGTTTACATTTTTAAAACTCTGACTAGTGGGACTCAAGCTGCCCTCAAGGACAGCTCTCATCAGTAATACTTTAAACATGGTAAATAATGTATCTTCTGTCCTCGCTTTCAAGTGAAATACACAGAGCTAATACAGAAGATACAATTGCATTTTAGACCATATAATCCGTTAGTTATCTGTTAATGCAACACATTTTTAAGATTTGAGATCAAAGTGTAGTAATAACTTATTTAAAAACTTCACAGGCCATAAGAAATACAATAAATATTATACATAGATAGGCAAACCAAAACACAATTTATATAAAGCAAAATACACTAACAAGTATAAGGTACCTGCAGTTGGATCTTTGGCTAAAACATTGTCCAAGGCACTTGTTATGGATTGGAAGAGATTCATCTTCTGAGTTTGCCCTGTGTGAAAGCGATCATTCCGAAATTTAATTTGGTTCAAAACTCGAAATACATTAGAAAACACTGGTGCAAACATGTCCAAAAACTTAACTATCAAAAACAAGATCTCTGCTAGGAATACCCAAGATTCATTTGTTGAATAAAATTAAATTATGGGATAGACGGGATTGAGCATGGTATACTTGGCCTTCCCAAGGACTATAATTCCACTTTCAATTCCTTTTTCAAAAAACTATGCTCTTGCCTGGAGCAAATGTAGCTTTGCAAAGCTCAAGCACTGGGAAGAATGCCTTCCTTTTCAAAGGAAGAAACCAACATATAATTGTTTTGAGGACTGGGATAATCCCCTTACTAAAATTTGCTGAAGCTTACTTTATCATTCTTTAATCACATTTCTTTAAGCTCCAGCCTTTCCCATTTACAGACATCTATTATTATCAGAAATTTTCTAGACCCCTGGCCTGCTCTCTGCACTGCAATTAGTAAGTGTCTGAAGCTTCAAATCCATACTTCAAAGAAAGAAACTTGGTACTGAAGTAAAGCAAGCTGTTTAATTCAAACAAAGGCTACCAGAATGCCCTTCTTCATTCCAGCACTTTTGGGAAAAACAAGAAGACCTGAAAGCAAAGATGGACCAAAACAGTAGCCTAGTCCTCACTACTGTGACCAATTCAAACTCTCCAAGCAAATAAAATAATTCTTAAAAGAAATCAAGTAAGTAAGAAATTGCTTGGCTGACATTTGATAGATCTTCAACTGGCAAAACCTCTGAAGTCACGACTAGAAGCCACAGTCCAGGAGAATTCTACCTACCAACACACAGAGTATGTAAAATTAAAGTGATAAATAAGATTATTAGATGAAGATCCCACACAAACTAACGGGAGTTAGAATTCAGAAAGGTGAACTACATTCTTTTCCCAGTACTTATAGTACCTCTCAACAAACATTCACCTTCCCTTTCTTCTAAATCTTTAAATAATGTAATTTTTTTTTTTGTTAGACTCATGTCACGCCACACCTGAGTAGCTGCATAGTTGCATTCCTACACTTGGTAACTTCACTTATACTTTAGGCGGCCCTTTAAGGAGAGGAAAATGTGGAAAAGAAAATGTTATGGGAACTGTTCAAGTTATACAAAAGCCCTAACAAACAAAATTCACAAATTCAAGAGAAGAAAAGCTCAGGAATAGCAGATGCTTCTCTTTCCCTAGTTGTCCACATTAGTACTTAGGTTATCTTATCTTTCCTACAAGATACCATCCTTCCAGTATTTGATATAAATAAATGGCTATTACTTAAGCAACTTTCAGAAACTCCTCACCATGACAGTTCTAACCTGTTTCTCTTGCTTATAACACAGGCCTTTGTATAAGGCCCACAGAGGAAAGGGGGAACAAACTGTGCCTTTTAGATTTGAGCTGTGAAGTTGGAAAAGCAATAGCTCAACAACATCAGGATCAGCACTGCCATAATTTTATCTCACTCCCACTGCTTTTCACAGAATTTTTAAGTGTATTTTGACTCACAGGGAATTAGATTTCTACTAATTAATGGCAGTAACTGGCATGCCACTCCAGAGCTTCTTTGCATGGTCTCAATCAGGGACCTGCCATACACGTGAGCTTCCCCACGTGGCACCTTGTCGCCCGTACATCTCTGTCACTAAGGGAAACTCTGTTTCTGTTGGTCCTGATCAAGAAGCAACACCAAGGCATCCAACCAAGTAACAAGTTTTCTAGAGGACAGTGAGGTTCACGTGATAGAAACAGCTGTTCTGCAGCTGGCAGGCTTCTTCCAGGAAAACTCAGCACTAGCCATTTCCAGGGATGCATCTCAGAAATAAAAGTCAAACGCCATGCGCTGCTCATTCCCAAGTTATCTGTGTTTACTCTCAACCATGTGACCACGAGGATGACCTCGAACCTTTCAGCGGACAGCAGTCTTTATTCACCATAGGTTTATTATCACACTCACGACCTAAGCATGCAATACAAAAACCAGGATAGATGTCAATTCACTAAGTTACTGCTAGAAGCTTTTGCTCTAGGACAGGGGCCGAGGATGGCCTGGCAAGTCTGAGCCCATCTAGCGCAGCTGTGGCTCTGACAGCCCGAACCATTTCGCCACCCCACTCTCGAGGGGGCCTGCCGGCCCCGCCAGCGGCCTACGGGCCCTTCCCACCCCGAGCCCGGGATTTCTGGGACAACCCGCGGCTGGAAGGGCCGAGGACACAGCGGGGTCACGCGGCCGTGCGGATGCCCCCACCGGCCCCGGCCCGACTGGCAGCGCCCCACGGGGCCCTAGGCGGGTTCTGCCTCCCTCCCTCCCGTCCCGGACGGGGTTGTTGGCGGCCTCCGCCAAGAAGGCGGGGGTGACAGGACGGACCCGGCGGCAGAGCGAGGTTGAGGCCGGCCTGCGGGGTGGACCCCGGCCAGCCGCGCTCTCACCGTACTCGCTGGGCGCCGGGTCCGGCTGGAAAGAGAAGTGCGCGGCGGTCCGGCGGGGCGCGCCCGGCAGCGGAGCCAAGCGGCCCCAGAGCCCGGCAGGGAGCGCCGCACGCAGCGCCCGCCCCGCCGCCGCCATCGCCGCGATGCCGGGCCCTCCGCCGGCTGCGCGTTCTAAAGAGGCGGGGTCCCAGACCGCCCTCCCATTGGCCAGCGCCGCGGGGGCACGCGCCAATCAGCGGCGGCTCCGCGGTGGGTGGAGGAGTGGGTGGAGGGAGGGTGGGGTTTGCTGCCGTTTGCTGCGTGCGCGCGGGGGGGGCGGCCTGGGGGGGCCGGCCTGGGGGGGCGCGAGCACGGGCACGGGCACGGGCACGAACTCGAGCACGAGCACGGGCGCGAGCACGGGCGCGAGCACGGGCGCGCGCGGCACGCGGCAGCCGTGAGCGCGGCCTGCGGGCGGGAGCGCGCTGCTCCTGCGCCCTCACAGTTACCGGGACAGCTACAAGGCACAGCCATGGGCACAGGCACAGCCATGGACGCAGTCATAGGCTCCGCCCCGGGCGGCCTCGCCTCGGTGCTGTCACAGTCACAGCTGAAACCAAAGGCTTCCCCCCTCCCCTCCCCTTAAATTCTTTTCTTTTCTTCCACTGCAGGGTTTGTCGTGTCGCCACCCCAGAATCCATGAATCGTGGACTGCTTTAGGTTGGAAGGGACCTTAGAGATGATCTGGTTCCAACAGACCTGCCAGCGCCTGGGACGCCTTTCCCTAGGCAAGGTTGCTCAGAGCCCGTCCGACCTGGCATTGAACACTTCCAGGGATGGGGCACCCACAGCTTCTCTGAGCAACCTCTTCCAATGTTTCACCATTCTTGCAGTAGAGAATTATTTACCTAATATCCATTCTAAACCTATATTCTTATAGTTTGAATCCATTCACCCTTGTCCTGTCACTTCATGTCCTTGTAAAACTCTCCATCTTTCTTCTAGGCTCCCTTCATAAATATCTCAAATCCTCCATTTCTACCCCAGCAGCTTCCCCAGAAGGTAAAAAAGAATTCATGGACCTGCAAGTATTACCTGTTCCACTCTGTCTCTCAGAATTCCTCTAAGCTGCCCATCCAACCTGGCTCTCAGTCTGTCTTATTTTAAATTCATTTTTTCCAAGGTCTCTTCTTCCAAACACTCTTGCTCAGACCTATGTTACATTATTTTATTGAAATTATGATCTTTCATATGCACATATTTTCTTTGTCAGGTTTTATAAAAACATTCTTTCTAATGTTCTCCTCATCAGAGTGTGACAATGTCACATTCCTTACATCATCCAGGTGAATCTACTTGGTCTGCTTGGTCTGCTTTTGCAGCCTCCATTTCTTTCTCTTTACACCCATCCTTGCTGCCTTTCAGTTGTCTCCAGATCAATCTTTTTTGACTTTCCCTTATGCCAGTGCTTCACATCTTGTCCCTGTGCATGCCTCTTCATCAAGCCCTTTCATGCAGCCTCCAATGCATGTGACAAGCTTTGAGTTGTTCTTCCCTGTCTGTTTTGATGTTATCTGTAAGACCAACCATACTGGCTAGCATCTTTACTTTGCTCCAAAAACTCTAACTCAATACTGTGCCTCAAAGAAAAAGGCTAGAAATTAGAATTATATATAAATGGCATCACCTCTTTCAAATGAGATGGCTCATATGTAACCCTGTGTGAACAGGGCCTGGTTTAAATACTGGAATGTTAGATTTCATGTCTAACATAAAATATGTATAACTGTTATGATTAGATTTCTTTTTCTATCTGAGTTCCTAGCCATTACTGAATATACTGTAATGATCACAGTTCCATTTCATTGAAGACTATTGTTTCATTATGTATTTTGTAAAAAAATATTTTTTCACTTAGAATTTCTTAATCATTAAGATTTGTGCTAAATAAAAGGCTTAATCCTCCTGCTAACTGGGGAGAATCATCCACTTGCTCTTTAACATGCCCTTTATCCTTAGAGACTGCTGAAAAAGCACTCAAATTTTGAGTGATTGATCATGGGATCAAACAAGTTTGAGCATATCCCAGTATATTCCAGGGAAACAAGGCACTAGTTAAGTTTCTAAAGGGAGTGAGAATTTTAAAAAACAATAGAAAAGCCATCTTTGCAATGAACAAGGACTATAAATGTCAAATGTTGAAGTTGCTTCCAACTTCAACTGAAGGCAACATTTGATGTTTGAAAAAGTTTAGGACCTGGAAAACATCATAACCATCAAGCGATATATAATCATGTAATATGTATTGCTAATAGGGGAAGATGTTAAAAATATCCAAGTTTACGATTCAAATGTTTGTGTTTCTTTCAGAAAGCAAATGTATCTGAGTAGGAGGAATTTAGCTATATTTCACATCATGGACGCAAAATCTGCAAAATTTAAAAATGGAGAGCAATAGTATAGAAAGGAATTGCTTTACAGGTGAGTCTGTCATCTATTACTAATGTGTCAGTTACTGTGAATTGCTAAACTCATACTATAAACTGTCAGATATATCCTGCTTATGTACAGTTAGTAGATACCATGCTGTGACTCTTGTCTCCTATGCCTGGTGATACATGGAACTTGAAAAGGAAAAGAGTGGTCATGTGGCCCAGTATCTTACAGAGGGAGTTACAGCATTTATGATGGAAGGGTGCAAAGAAGAAATATCTTCAGTGAGACATTCACCTGCTAGTCAGACCTAGGTAAAAGAGAAAAAAGTATCTGAAGACATACTAACACCTAAATTGTTGATCCCTTTGAGTACAAAAGATGGTTTGTCCATATGGCCTTGGATATTTGCACTGGTAATTAAAAAAAAAAAAGGGGAGGGGGCAATCAAAGAGTTTTATCCAAATGTACATTGGCTGAACAATATTTTAGTGGAGTTTAGTCCCAGCATTTATGTCTTTCCAGCTCTGACAGGGTAATAATTATATCCATGTTGTTGCTGGTGTATGTTGTGATATTCCAGCAACTTCAATTACATTTTGAAGACATTTTTCTCTTTTGGAAGTTGTTCAGTCACTTAGGGCCACTTCTGTTAAATCTGTACAGCAGACATTAAGGGCTGAAATCAACTGCATTCCCCATCTGTGTGTATTAGTCATTTTGCACATCCTTAGTATTCTTGACAACCATTAAAAAACTCTGGTAGGGGTTACTATTATTTGTGATTTAAGCAATTAATGAGGATATGGTGATGATTGCAGACCCTACTGACTGACCCAGACCAGATTATGCCCATATTTAAGCCAGCATCAATGAGATGTAACTCCTTTGAAGTCTCTTTTGTTGCTTCTGATTGACATGGATCCAACTGTGAGCAAACTGCAATATTGGATTTGGACATAAACATATGGCTTCAAGTCTACTATTCTTTTTCAAAATCTCTCAAAAATTTTACATAGCTTGCAACTGAACCTTAAACTTGTCACATTTCCTTGTAGGTGTTACTTTAAATTACATTTCTGTAGATGATGAAGCATGCAGGAGACTTCTGTTGCATTCCTTCGAGCATAGTTGTTTTCTCGTCACATCTGTCTGACATGGTTTAGTATTACTGTAAGTTTGCCTCCCTGCTCTGTGGTTCATGGAAGGAATTTTGTTGCATGTTTCCACCCCAACAGCTGACTAGCTGTTTCACCCCCTCTTATAGGAGCTGCTAGTAAGCACTCTTGTCACGCTACTCCTAGGTCCTGGTGTTACAGCTGTTTTCATGCTTTGTTTGCATGTCTTCCTTCTACTCTAATTATTGTCTGCTTTTTCCTTCTTTTTCTGTGCTGATACTTTGGAGCTGTTTTCTCCCATCCCTCCTCCCTCAGACAAATGGAGGTTTTTGTTGATTAGGGACAGTTATTTCTTTCTTGGATATGTGAAAAAGAGAAACTGTACCGTTTGGCCTGACTGGTTTTATTGTCAGTCCTGTACAGATTAAATGTGGGAACAGTGTCTTACCCCTAAGAATGAGTAAAGCAAACTGAACAAGACCAGAGCAGTAATGGTTTTGATCAACAGGATTTAGAATAAAATGGTTTCATCTTAGGTAGCATAAATGTCAGAAACCCTTTTGCAGTTTAGCAGAGAAATTATTATTTTACACTTTGATAAAAAGCAGGTCAGAGCAATCTATCTGGAACCAGACAAGTTGTAGTCTGGCAGAGAGCAGGGGCGGGGGGGAAAGGAAAAGAAGATTTAATGGCATAGTTTTGCACTCATTTTCATCTAAGGTCAGAAATCATCCAGTTACTTCTGCCATATGACCCACCTCTGTGGTAAGACAGTGCTTCCCATTCAGTCTGGAATAGTAACTGTGGTTTTCATCACCAATTGCTTTTTAGATTTTTAAATACTGCACTCTTAAGTTGAAGACAGTCCTATTTTAAATTACATGAGTAATTCATAACATTAAGTGAATCAAGGCTAGAAACTGCAGTGTCTATCCATAGAGACATTATTCAGCTCTCTTTATATGACATTTCAGTGTTTCATAATTACAGGATGAGAATCCCACTCTGTTTAATTCAATCAGTTTTAATTGCCTTGAAACCACAGAGCATATTTAACTCTATTTTCTACTAACTTAATCTAGAAATACCTGTGCAGGGAAATTATTTCTTATATTTGACAGTTTATACTTGACAATTCTAATGCCAAAAAAAGTCATAATTAAATCAAATTTGTGCAAGGAATGGGGATCACATTTTTATCCTGGGGATAGTTAAATGTAGGAACAATTTGCCTGAGAACATGTTGGATTCTCATCACTTCCACTCTTCAAATTATAACTAGATTTCTTTGTAGAAGATGTACTGTATCTCAAACAAAATTACTGTCTTGATAGCAAAACTACTAGGTGAAGTCATACTGAAATCTTATTTATACCTTGCAGTTCTAAAATACCTGTTCTTCAGTAATAAAGTGAGAATTGCTATTTGACTGGTCAAGAAAGTATGCCAAAAATCTCAGATTCAGAAATATGTGGAGTGATGGATTTTTCAGGTATATTGAATGTATTTGTGTGTATGTATATATATACACACATATAGCTGACATTATAAGCAGTGTTCACAAAACAAATATACAGA